CCTGAATGACCTCTGCTTGTCCCTGCAATGTCCTTCAAAAAGGTTCTGTCAAAACTCCAAGGTGGAAGGTACTGGGGAATTTTGATGGTAGTTGGGGCATGGGACTTATTCAGATTAAGTTAGTACTGGTCATTGACCCTATTTGGAGCGCTGTCAATCTAGACAATCTACTCCGATCAGACAATCAGCTGTTCTAGTGTAATTATTGTGATTTTGTTTTATTAAAAAATTAATTGTCTATTTATTTTAACCCTACTAATAGAAAATCAATTCCATTAATAAACCTCTAACTTAATGATTCTGGGAAGAATGAAAAGTTTGATGAAAAGTGTGGCTACAACTATTGGATAGAAAACAGTGGCTTGAGGAAGGTATGCTATTCAGAGGTGAATAAGCTTATTTCCTTTTATTTTGGTGCGGGAAAAATCATCCCGTAACATGTTATCATTATGGAAGATACTGATATTAATAATGAATTGAAAATAGAGCTTGCTCTTGTAGAGAATATTCCAGTTATTACACCAGAAATATCAGATTCAGTAGGGGTTAATATCCAAATGGATGACAATCGTGGTCCAGAAGCTGAAAACAGTTTACCAGATGTTTTTGAAGATGGTAATGATGAGAATTATATATGCGAAAATGATCTAGGAGATGAGTTCCAACCTAATGACATTAGACGATCCAGTAGGCAACGCAAGCCTAAGAATATGGACGACTATGTAACATTTACGTGTGAAAACTATACTGACTGTTTAGAAGACCCATTGACATTCAGAGAAGCTTTGTTGAGACCAGATTCCGAGTAATGGAAATGTGCTATCAGTGATGAATTGCAGTAATTTAAAGAGAATGATGCCTGTGTCCTTATTCTTTAAGCAGGGGAGCAACGTTGCCAGGAGAACGAGTGTTCCGTCCTTGTCAATGATATGCAAACGATAATATAAGTAACAAAGACAGACCACTCGTTCTCCTGAGAACGCTGCTCCCCTGTTTCAATAATGAGGACCCTGGGTGGTAAGTGATTTGCCAAAAGATGCTTCTTTGGTTGGTTGTAATAGGGCGTTCAAAAGAGAGGAGAATAGTGCGGGTGAAGTTAGATATCGTGCTCGTTTAGTAGCTAGAGGTTTTTTTCAGAAACCAGGTATAGATTATGACGAAACTTTTGCACCTGGTAGTTAGACATTCAACTTCACCTTTACTTTTTGCTTTGTCTATTCAGTTGAAATTAGATACTAGACACTTTGATGAAAAAACTGCTTTCTTAAATGGTTATCTTGAGGAAGATGTATACATGAAAATTCCTGAAGGATATAACCAACAAATGAAAACAAGGTTCTTACGTTAAAACAATGAACGGTTAAAACAAGCTATTTATGGCTTAAAACGAGCTTCAAGAACTTGAAATGAGAGAATCAACAATGTTTTGTTGGAATTAAACTATAAAAAATCTAACTGAGAGCCATGGTTGTTTACAAAAAGTTCAGATAATCTTATTATAACTATTGTTGCTGTCTATGTTAATGATTTTTTTATTTTTTCAAGTTCAGAGAATGTTTTGAAGCAAGAGCTTGGTTCTAGATTTAAATTTAAAGATTTGGGTCAAATATGGATTGTTTAGGTATGGAAATCGATATGAATGAAAATAAAAACATAATAACTTCAAGTCAAGAAAATTATTATATTGATCGGTTGCTGAAAAGATTCAATATGAGGGATAGTAAAATTGCAAAGACTTCGTTAGAAAATAAATTAGATTTATCTCAGGGTGGTGATGAAGTTGATGTTCCTTATTAACAATTGATAGGCAGCCTTATGTATTTAAGTGTTCTCACACGTCCAGACATATCTTGCACGGTCAGTTACTTGAGCCAATTCAATTTATCACATAATGAGGTTCACTGGAAGTGTGCGAAACGAATTTAACGTTATCTGAAGGTTACAAAGAAATATAAATTAACTTATTCAGAAGAAAAAACAAAACTGGTTAAATGCCTATTGAGCTAGCAATTCACAAGACAGAAAATCTTATACGGGTTATGTATTCAAATTTCAGGGCTCTGTTATTTCTTATGAAAGCACGAAACAAAGAACTGTAGCTTTGTCTAGCACGGAAGCTAAATACATGGCGTTAACAGAGGCTGCAAAAGAGGCAATTTATTTAAAAAGTTTGTTTGAAGAACTAACAGGAAAAACACTATGTATTCAGTTATATAACGATAATCAGAGTGCTATAAACTTATCTGCAAATCCTGTATTCAGGTAAGGCGTGATCTGAGTCACAAAATTTTCTGCTTCAATTGCAGCTTTTATGTCATTGCTCACGTCATCTAATGTTCGTAATTCTCTTCCTAAATAAGCAGCGAATTGTCCTGTAGTTTCACACCAAGTAGAATTCATTGAACATCTTACAACGGGTAATTTTTCAGGCCAATACCCATGATCATCTTTAACTAATATAGCAAATCTTGACTTAAGGTCTCTGTTTTTTCGTTCTGAGTGCTTTTTTGATTTTTAGGATAAAACACACTTGTTGCATAATCGCAGATATAAACTGTACTCCATTATCGCTAATCAATTTCCTGCATATTCCATATCTATTGAAGATTTCATTTAATAAAACAGTAGCACAACTTTCGGCAGTAGCTTGTTTTAGAGGAAACAACTGTACCCATTTTTTCGAAGTAGATATCTTCTACTATAAATATCCATGTTTCTTCCCCGGGTCCGGGCGGAAGTGGTCCAAATAAGTCAATAGCCAATGTCTCAAATTTTTTAGCATAAACGGGTGTTTGCAACAAGCCTGCAGGTTTTTCATCTGCTATGTTTTTTCGCATTCCAGGAAAATAGTATCTTTTTCATATTCCATGAAACGTTCGTTCAACACATAATGTCTGGCGCTTGGATTATCATGATGTTCTTAAAGAACCTTTTCTCTCTCCTGTATAAATACTACAAGTTGTACATCTTCTTCGTCGCTTTCAGGAGAATATCTGTATAAAACTACTTGTCATAATATAACCTCTTTCTGTCCATTTTCTAAACATCACTCGAATCTTCGAAGCATTTGATTATTTTGACTATATCGGGATCTTTTAATTGCTCTTCTCGCAATTCCGTAGCGCTGTTATGAGGCATTTCTATAAAAAATGTACAAAATCTTACAATTTTCTACAGTATCATGTTCACAGGGTGGGCTTGAAAGCAAACCTATTAGCTATGACGTTTCTCTTTCCTGGTAGATATTCATTTTTTATATCATAACTTTGAATCTGTAATGCCCATCTGGCTAGTTTACCTGTTGCAGACTATATTTAACAGCCATCTCAAAGCTTGATGATCTGTCTGTATGGTTACAAGTGAATACTCTATGTACCCACTAAATTTGTGTAAAGCCCACACTACAGCCAAGGCTTTTCTTTCAGAAGTAGAATAGTTTCCTTCTGTCGCAGTCAATATTCTACTTGCATATTCGATAGGGTGTTAATTTTTTTCACTATCACCTTGAAGTAAACAAGCTCCAAGAGCATAACCGCTTGAATCGGTTCCTATTATGTAAGCCTTGGTTTAATCACATTGTTTAAGGACGGGTGCCGTGGTGAGCAATTTCTTTAAATTGTCAAAGGACTCTTGCTCATCTCTAAGAAACATTTTTTTTTCGTGAGGTTACTTAATGGGCGTGACATTTCTGCAAATCCATCGATGAAGCGTTGAAACCAACTTGCAGTTTGTAGGAATGATTGCACTTCATGTAGATTTCTTGGTGAAGGTCTTTTTGCTATAGCTGATATTTTTTCTGGATCCACTGAAAGACCCTGAGGTGTGGTCAGATGTCCCAAATATTTCACCTAAGCACACGCGAATAGGCACTTCTCGCGGTTTGCACGTAGTTTGAATTGGTCAAGTCTATCAAATACTGCTTCAAGATCTATCATATGATCTTCAAATGAACTCGATAACACCTTTAAATTATCGAGGTACGCAAATACTACGATTTCACTATCATCGGTGTTCCGTTTAAGTCCATTGCTAAACCGATCTATGAGCCGTTGAAACGTTGAAACGTTGCTGGCGCATTTTTGAGTCCAAATGGCATTCTCGTATAACGAAAAATGCCAAACGTTGTTATAAAAGCTGTTTTATCGTGCTTCTAAAACTTTAAAACAAGAAATAATATAGCGCAAAGTTCTAGAAAAATTAATTTCAAACTGATTGACAATGACACATCATCACAGCGTCAACTGAACGCTGGTGTTCCATTTTGTCACTTGTTGGCATGTTCGGCGGCGGCATCGGTATGTGTGCATATTTAAATATTATGGGATAAGCATGAAATATTGAGGTAATATTTGTTATAAATTCTGAAAATCTCTGAAAAAGAAATAGAGGAAGACAAACCTAGAAAAGACACAGGAGATTTTGAAGAAGGCGAAAAAAGTTCTTAAACATGTTGAATTGTGAGGAGGAACACAATTCACTAGGAGACAGCTATTACGGATGAAATGGTAAACTTGAGAAACTTACTGGGAATAAGAAGTGAACAAGAGAAAGAAAGTAAAAATGATGAAATGTGAAAAAGAAAACAAAGATAAGGAAAAAGACACTCGAATCATTTTTCGATTTTTCCGCTGCTCTTGTTTCAAGCATTTCGGCTTTTTAAACCTTCAGTATGAAGTTACGTAGGTCCCAAATAATCATTTCAATCTCCTAAAAGATTCAATTTCTAATTTGAATAATATCTAATCCACTGCGCCCAATTAGGCAAAATAACATTTATATATGTCAAGTTTCACCTTGCAATATAAATTTCACGTGAAATTCAATTTCCGAACGTAAATCAGCTGCTAAATTTCACGTAAAATTGAATTTCCGAACGTAAATCATCCGCGCAAAATGCAACGGAGCCCACAATCTGGTTACCTAAAACCCGAAATAAATTCCTCGCTGAAAAGTTGGGAATTTTAATCGAAGCTTATCTCTTGTCTATGTTTTATACTTACTTCTGCATGTAATGATCCTTGACCACAATAATAATTAAAAGTATATTGGCCACCAGTGCAGCGACGAACACAAAAGCGTAAATTCCAATTACCGTGAATTGGTATTGCTTTAGCAGATCGTAAATTTGGTCGTCTGTGAAGTTTCTGGATTCGTTTGTTGTGCTGTTCATCCTGGATAGTGCTTCAGCTGGAAAATAAAACGAAAAAATGTCGTCATTATTGCCTGTAATTTGATTTTGTTCAACCGCACTAAATTTCATTTTAGAAACGCCTCTCGCCTCCATAGAAAAAAAAAACAACAAATTTAAATATTTTTCGAGGATCGGAACCGCAATTTTTGGGGATAAATAAATTACCCGCTCGCGGGTTTTTAATAATCGCTTGTGGCGAAAAAATTGAGTCAACAAATTGATATATTTATAGTTGGGATATTTTCAAAATTCCATGTACTACCTAGTGAGTTTTATTGAATTAATGATAATTTGTGAATAAGATTGATAAAAGCAACTTAGATGGTGAAATCTCCGGCAGCAGTTTCGCAGTAAAATCAATTATGGTATATTTTCCATGGAAAGCTAGGCAATGTCCAAGACACAACTGAGGATATTTAACTTTACATATATCTTTATTTACAAGTCAATTCCGTATTCCCATTACGTGCATCGATCTATCATTCACTTAGACCCGGTTTAAAGTTAACGTCAAATTAAATTGTTGAAATGTACCTCCCCATGGCAATAGTACACGTGACATTATTACAAAACCGCCTTGACGAAATTCCGCATTTACTTTTCTGATGCGAAAACGTCTCAGCGGTTTACACCAAATTGTGTACGCGTTATTTGATGTTTGGGTTGATTAATGTTTATAACCCCAAGTGTTGACGACATGGATCAACGTTCAACATGAAAAGTAGGTAAGTATTAAAATTTATGATTATATGATGGCCTAGAAATATTGATTTCCTTTAAAGTTGATGGATAGGGTCACATGTGTTTAGTATCAGATGAATTATGATTTCTAACCCAAACGTACAGTAAAAAGTAAGGATTTTTCCGATGGGGAACCATCTCCTATAAGTTTCACACAGAAGCTTTTTTCAAACAGCCTTTATCACTTGATAAATATTTCCTGGACTTCTTTTGAACTTTCCCTAATTTCCCTAATAATTCACCATACTTGCTTCCTCAGATTTCTATTAACTTTCCCAAACAATTCTTGCTTACTGTAATGTATTGTAATCATGAAGAAGCGTTGAATTACTTTATTAACTAACTTCCAATAAGTATAACTATGACATGACTATGATTAAAACTAACCAGAGATAAATACTATATAAACTGTCGAGAATGGAATCTCAGTGTAAATTTTGTTGTCAACAAAATTGAGCCAAGCCAGCGCCATCTACCATATTGGAAACTCACTATTTACTGGTTTTGCATCGATGCTACATACACCTACTTTATATAGGACTCTTTATGATAGATGGCGCCCTGTTCGCATTACAGTCGGTCTGTTCAAACTTCTTTATTCTAGACTTTGGGACAATAATGTTTGCTTAAATTAATTGAAGTTTTGTTAATTAGATCAAAAGACAGTTCCTTTATCGATGATTAAAAAGGGTCGTTTTCACGGTGATAGTTTTTGCGATAGTTGCTGTCGTGATAGTAACTATCGCACAAACTATCACCATGTAAACAACCCGATAGTAGCTATCATGCTGTCGCGACAGTGCTGTCGCACTATCTCGCTTGACTAGATAGTTGGGAATACTTTCGTGAAAGTAGTGATTTTTTATAGCGGCACGATGGCGAAAAATCAAAATATCGGAAATTATTTTGATAAAATTAAGCAGGGATTTGACGTTATACATTTTCTGGAAGAATATGAGAGGTTTCCATGTTTATGGAAGAAAAGCTCGGCAGATTTCAAAAACAGAGTGAAGAGGGATCATGCAGAAGAAACTCTGCTGCCCTTATCAGGACTTTCTACAATTAAACAACTTAGGCAGAAAATTAGGAGCATTAGATGTACATATAATCAAGAAGTGCAAAAATAAAGAAGTCTATGGGAACTGGAACGGGTGCTAATTACGTATATAAACCAAAACTTATATGGTTCTCCGTAGCTGATAGTTTTCTAAGGCACAATTTGGAAGAAAATGACTCAGAATCTAATTTGGTAAGTTTTATTTAATGTTTCGCAATTATTTACATCCTAAATTATATAAATATTGAAAGAAGTGTAGTCAAATTATTTATTTCGGTGTCTTCTCTCGATTGTTATTCTATCATTTTGTACTGCCAATCGAGTGCTCCTGTCCCTGTAAAATAGTCAGCAAAGTCTTCTCTTCTTTGTCGAGCTTCTGGCAAATAGTTACGCTGCAAAGCTGCTCTTACATCAACGACACCATTTGGTCTAGGATCATTGCGCCAAGATCCAGGAATTATTCGACCTGTTGCATGTTCCTCAATATCTGCTGTTACTACATCATTTCCCACTTTTCGTATCCAGTTGTGCAAGGCACATGCAGCTTTTATTAGTTTCACTACTGTTTGAGGAGCAAGTGATATTGGGGATCTGAATACACGAAAACGAGATGACATGATTCCAAAAGCGTTTTCTACTACACGTCTCGCTCTACAGTGTCTATAATTGAAGACTTTCTGTGCAATAGTTAATTGGTTTCGTCGGGGATAGGGCTTCATTAAATATGTTTTAAGTGGAAATGCTTCATCTCCTAATATAACGGATCCGTCAGGTTGATGCAATAAATTTCCCTCAAGCGCTTTTTGAAGAGAGGACTTAGCAAATATTCCGCCATCTGAAATGCTGCCATAACTCCCAATATCAATAAAAGTAAAATTATAATTATGATCCACCATTGCCAGCAGTACAATGCTAAACGTGCCTTTGTAGTTAAAGTACTGTGAACCGGAATTAGCAGGGCACTGGACCAAAACATGTTTACCGTCAATTGCTCCTATGCATTTGGGAAAATTCCAGCAAGTTTCAAATCCATTTATAATTTTGTTCCACTCGTTCTCACTTTGTGGTACCTGGAAAAGAAAAATCAATTGAAAATAATATTTTATTTATTAATTATTATTATTATTAGCAATTGAAATAAATTGAAAATAATATTTTATTATTGTTTTTGTTGCAGATGTTGCCAGAACAATTTCCAGAAGAAAATCAGACAAATGCACAGCCCGCAACATTAAATGAAGAACCGACGCAAGAGCCAGGGGAGCATATAGAAACCCCTTCTGTCAACCCAGTAAGAAATACACAGACAAGTTTCAAAAGTTTCAATGCACGGCCTGGAACAGCCAATGAAGAGTCGACACAAGAGCCTATAGGGAGTGTGAAGAAACCCCTTTCGTCAACGAGAAAAACAAAGACAAGTGGCAAAAGGCCCGCGAGTAAAGGAATAAATAAGGAGGATGATTCTTTGGACCAGGCTGTGAAAGTTCTGAAACAGGTGGCATCCCAAAAATCGTCTGTTCCTTCCAATGAATTTGATGCCTTTGGACAACATGTTTCTTCCCAACTTAAGTGCCTTCCATTACAAGATGCAATATTACTACAGCAGGATATCCAGAAACTAATAACCAATGTTCGCCTACGTTGTGTGCAAACGCAGAGTTCATCTGACAATGAAACACAGGCCACTTCTAGCTCAGCAAGGGATCTACAACAAGATACAGAGCCGTCAAATTCTTCAGGAAATAAACAATATCATAGCCTGCATGAGGTGCAGAAACCAGAGCCACGCCTCATGAATTTTTTCAAGAATTGGACTGGAGATGATGAAGATAGTTACGATTTTTATTTAGAATAGATACCTACCTATCTTATGCTTAAAACTTTTATGAAATATACTGTTTCTTTTGTATTTTTGTTTTTGTTTTATAAAAGACATATTATAGGTAATTAGGGTTGTGAATAACTATAATAATAAAAATAAATTAGGTAATTAGTATGTGTTAATTAATGATTACGAACGTACCATAACATAATCTTTCAGCACTTCGTATATGGCATCAAAGACGTCTGGTAGAAACTGGCTTATGGTACATTTTGGAACTCGGTAAAGGTACTGCAAAGATCCCAGTGAGTCGCCAGTAGCAAGATATCGACAAGCTATTTGAAGTTTTAGCTTTGCTGATAAAGGTTCTCGCATAACAGTATTATTCTTTTGTATCTTGCTGCTAACCTTTAAAAAACATAGGTACTTAGTTAAACGGCTTTTATATCACTTCAAAATTTGCTTACCTTATTCAGTAACGTATTAAACATTTCCTCATTCAGGCGTAAGAAGTTTAAAAAACTTCTTGGGTCTTCTACAGCAAGTTCCTTGAGAAGTATTTCTGAAGCACCAAGTGTCCTCCTTCTTGCAATCCATTTTCTCACCCATATCTTCTTGGTTTTTTTATTTCTTTTTCGTTTAATTTTAACTATTTCACCAATTACAGCAGCTACCGCGTCAGTTAACTGCGTATCGGCCATTTTGCTATTGATTACTGTCACGATAGTTTTTGGTAGGTGTAGACACCTCACTTTCACGATAGGACTATCGAGGTGACTATCATGAGAGCGCTGTCATGAGAGTACTCTCACCGTGAAAACGAGCCTAAGGATATTCTTAACATATTTATTCAAAATTTTGATTGATGTTCAATTGAACCTGTCATTAATCTAATCAACAAAGATAAAAATAGATCTTCCAATCTATAAAGTTTGAAGGTCTTCGTGAAACACACAAAACCACTTTGAAATTACTTAGAAACACTTGACAACACAAAGAAAGACGAAATGCAAGACCGGCGAACGAAAAACATTATGAATTATTAGTTATGATCAAATGAATATTTTGGCATATTGTCATATGTTGACATGTCAATCTCATGTCAATGTTATCGACATCGGACGTGTTCTTGATGTGCTGGTATTTTACAATTCTGTTGTTGTCAGCGACATCTAGAAAAACGGAAAAGAGTTATTATGTGGTTTATTACTGGCAATAAGAGATCGCAGGGCCTGAAACTAACTGACAATTATCATGACAAAACTATAGTGCCTGGTGGCCTTAATATAGGTATAGTCTGGCTAGCGAAACGGCGAACTGCAAAAGAATTTGCTAATTTGCCAAACTTGACGGAAATAATGATAAACAAGTTGGTG